CCCAGAGGACCGTGGGACTTAGTGGTCGGGCCTGTGGGCCTCAATCCAGTGGTAGTGTTGGTGAACACAGCCATGGACAGTAAAGGGACTTGGTAGGGACCAGAAAAGGGACATTGGGGGAAGGCTATTCCCCATGTCTGTCGGCATCTTAAGGATCCTAAGGAGTGGATCTGGGATGATCACTCATGAATGGATGGCCCAGTCTTTGAGGGACGGGACTGTGATGGAGTTGGTGTCAGACCACCGGTGTGACCAAGGTGAATGGGCATGGCCTTAGCGTAACGGGCTGATATGTTGGTGGTACCTTGGAGTGTTGGTCATGGGATCGGTCACATGGAGCACTTGGACCAAGTGCAAAGGTTGGGTGATGGGGATGCCATTCTCGGGGCTAGCAAGCCCAAGTTTGAAATAGGACTTATGGAGGTTGTGAGTGAGACTCCTCCAATTGGTCGGAGGTGTGGTTAAGTGACTAAAGTAGAATGGAAAAATTAGTCGCTTACACCAAAGTGGAGCCAAAAGAGTGTCACGTGGTAGTGGCCGAAGTTAAAGCTAAACAAGCATAACACATTTGGACTAAAAGCTCCAACTTGAAAAATCAAGAGCTTCAGTGGACTCCTAACAAAATGCTCGAGGAACAAGCACGAAGCGAGCAATAAGTGACTCTCTAGAAAAGGGACACAAAAGGACCAACACATGACACGTGGAAGAGTCCAAGATGGAGTCCGAGATGGATCCAAGATGGAGTCCGAGATAGACCGAGATGGAGTCCGAGATAGACCTGAGATGGAATCTGAGATGGAGTCTAAGAAAGACCCGAGATGGAGTTCGAGGTCGAGACCAAGACCAAGACCGAGACCGAGACCAAGACCAAGACCAAGACCGGGACCGAGACCAAGACCGGGACCGAGACCGAGACTGAGGCGGAGGCCGAGACTGAGCCCGAGTCCGAGTCCGAGTCCGAGTCCGAGTCCGAGTCCGAGTTCGAGTCTGAGAGGGTGAAAGCCCAAAGCGTTCGTCTCCCAGACCCTGGGGGGTTTGGTGAGCTCCAAAAGTATAGTAAGGGGGAGGACTGCAGTGGAGCCAGTTTGGCCAGGAAAGGCCAGTTTGGCCCAGGAAGGCCAGACCCAGTGTTGGGTGATGAACTGACCACTGGGAAGTCCAAGACTAGAGTGAATACGGACCGACAAGCGGGGTAGCTTGGTGAAGTGTTCAAGAGCCGGCTCTAGTTCCCCTAGGAGATCGACTGGCCGATGCTCCCAGTCCAAGTGTGGGTGGCACTACCTACTTGGATACCAGGCGTGGCTCAATGGAACCTCGCTCTAAGCCCATGGCTAGAGCACCTAAAGGCGAAAGGT